TGATTGGTCTAACTCATCTACAGGCAGTTCACAAGCTATTTAATTAGGTTCAATTTTCAATTATGAACGATGACAACATTGCTGATAACATAGGCTTTAATTAAAATTGCAGCTCTTGTGATTTGATAATGCACTCTTTCAAATTGTGATTTTAAGATAGAAACAATTAATATTTCAGCGGTAGTATCGTGCCGTCTCAAATTATAATTAGTTTATTTTGCATTTGAGGTTGCAAAATACACTTGACAATTATATCCTTAATTATATCCTTATCCAGTCTTCCTCAGTGGGTGTTTTCTCCACATGTCTGGCTTTCACCTACACCTACAAGGCCATTTGTGTGTGTGTGTGTGTGTAAGTGAGTGTGTGAGTGAGTGTGTGAGGAGTGTGTGAGTATGTCCATGTGATGTAATAGAGAAAATAAAAAAGCTACACACTTGCCAAGAAAACGTCAAATCGGTACAGCACAAGCACACACAAAGCCATTCCAACCCGACTTTGAAATACCTAGCAGTCACTTTGAATTTGACTTGCTAAGTACTAACAGCACTTCCTCCTCATCCAACTAACAAGGTATGTACCAAATTTCCTCAGATGACTTAAGAAGACAAAGTCTAGACGGTTTACAGTTACAGTTTTGCTGATAAACGATACAATGCAAACAAGGAAGATGCATTACAGACCTAACCTTTTTCCCTTTAGTCACTTATTACTGTGAGGGCATGTACTGATACCGACTAAAGCACTCCATCATTATCAGTAATACAGCTATCAGTAATACTGATATTATTTGGTTGTTCATTTCTATTTAAAATTACATTATAAAACAACAAGATTTCAACAGGAACATTGCCAAACTTGAGCGGTCATTTTAAATGGACAAACTTCCACATGTAAGACTTGTGCACAGTAATTATAATCGGATGAACAAGTAAAAGCTACATTAGATAAAAACTTCAAAAGTAATTAACTGTGACATGCTAAGTGTCTGACATACTGCAGTAAATCATAAGTCTTTAAAATCTGCAACAGAATTGTATTGTATTGTATTGTATTGCTTATCTTTTTCTTAATTTCTACAATATTATATTACACGCAAAGCAATAATAAGAACAACATCAAAATAAATAATTATGACATAAGTAACAGCAACACTTTTTCAGCTGGTAATTTTGAGACTGCCCCTAACACTGAAACAGACATATGAGAAAAGTGATCATATGCAAGTTAAAGCTTAATCATTGTGAAATAAAAACATACAATATAAAGTGTGCCAAAGTTTTGCACAGGCTGCATATTAGGTTTGCTTTTTTCTAGTGTGTTAAATTCAGCAAAAAAAACTATAACAGCAATTGTGCATTAAAATGTGCAGAAGTATGCTCTCTGTAGAAGATGTGCACCTGTTTTCACCAAGAAAATCAGCAGAACATCAACCAAATTTTTGCATATGACTATACGTTAGGTACAACGAATATGCTATTATATAGGACATCAATTCACCTTACATGTTTAAAAGTAACTATATTTTAAAATAACTATGTTCATGTGAGACAATAGTAGTGTCTTGCTATGTAAATGAGCTTTTACGGTCACTGGAGGCTGTTCCTTCAGAAGCTGTCACTGGCCACAGACCTAACTTCAGTCTATCTCTTCGCTAAACTTAGTAAGGAAGAGAGAAAACGGCACACTCCTAAGCTTCTAGACCTTTCCTCAGGCCACACAGGCCGTACGGGATACAGCCACAGCCACAGCCACAAGGAAGGAGGAAGTGAAATCTCTCCTGATAATCAAGACACAGTGCCCTGTGTTTTGCCCTCGTCTCCTTCTCTGGCATGCTCCAGTTAGTCAGCAATACAGAAAGTGACCCGATTCAAATGCAAATTCATTCCGATTGAGATTTTTACATACTATTCCTTGCTTATGGCACTTTAGCACTTCTAATAAGACTAAGGGGTGGTCACTGGTCTTTTGTCTCACTACATATGTATTTGTAGGTGTTTCCCTCTCAAAGCGCAGAATATTGGGAGGAGTTTATTATAATACAGGACGTACGCCAATTTATCAAGACTGGTAGTAGATACTGAACGGGCACTGCTTGACGTCTGAGAAAAGCTTGTGTTACTTTTTCCACTAACATGGCTGCAATTGTTTGCTTTCAGAGAGAAAACAGAGACTTCTTCTAAAACATTTACTTATTTTTGAAGGAAAAAAACTTGTAAACGCCTGCCATGCATGCCACAATATTCTCAATTTGATGAAGGAAATAAAAAACAAGCCAAATGGTTTTTAAAAAAATGATGTTTTAAAAGGCTATTTCCTAATATTTTGTGCATATGTACTATGTTTTAGGTACTGCACAAAGCCAAGAGGTTACATTAAAACTATACAATTCCAAAAAGACCTGAGTGTGCTCAGTGAAACTAAAGAGGGATTTTACAATTTCACACAGTTTCCAAACAGAACAAGTTTAGCTCTTCCCACCTGCCAAAAACAAAAAGGTTCTTCCATAACAGAAAGTAATAAACAATAGTTCAAAGTTGGTCATTATTCTTTGACGTACTAAGTCAAAATATTGAGGAAATAAGTCATTATTTTGACCGAATGAGTCAAAGTTTGAACGTGAAACTTCTTTTCCCCTCATATATAGTAGAAACAGGCTTTCACATAAAAAGCATGCGAGTTAAACACATGGTTGTATTGCACTGGTCATATGTTAATAATGAAGTTGCACCTGTGTTTGTTTGCATGGACATTCTTAGTAGATACCGCACTAAACTGGCCACCTGCACCAAAGCAAAGTGTTGGTAGAAGGTCAGTAAATATCGCCTCTCTTAGTAAATTTGCCCCTAAGAGCTCTAGCTTAAAATATAATTCAAAGACTCTGAAAGGTGCGTCATGCATGGCCTTTTGCAAACTAGAGTAACCAGGCAATGATCTAATTCTGCAATCCATGGCATCTGATATAATCCTTTTTCTTAATATCACTCACATCAAAGTGAGATTTGCCAGATGAACAGGGAGTCCAAGTGAGCTGAGCTTCAGAGAAAATCCTCTTAAACTCATCAAAAGAATATCACCAGGCGCTACATCTCTATTAGCTGGTATGGAATGAATATCAGCCTCCATAACAATTCCCTGTGGGGTCCCTAGAATAATGTCACTGCCTAGCCGAAATTCCCATTGAAGCCACTGAGAGGTGTTAAGAAAATGTAAGGTTTTAAAACGTATGACCCTGCTGACCATATAACAGTGGCACTGGCTGGTACTGGCATTAAGCCCATTCTTGGCTAACATTTAAATTTAGTATGTAAAAAAAAAAATGTCACTCAACTTGTTCTGATGGGTCTAAAGTGACGCAATTTTATATCAAAGGTCTTTAAATCTGGACATTTGATGGCTGATAGTTTGAATTCAGTCTTTTTGTGATGTTATGAAAACAAACTCATTAACATATATATTCCTATTCAGTCTACAGCTGTTAAGCCCCACCCATAGACACTGAGGTTATAAGGAGTGTTTCTGCCTGGACTGCTTTTTGAAAAGGACAGCCAATCAGAACAGAGCATTTACATACATCAGTCTTAAAGGTACAGTGATATAAAGGAGAAATTGAGTGTTGGAGAAATGGTCATGTATAAATTAACTATGACTGTTTTTGGTACATAAACCCAAACATTATATATAAGCTGACCTCGGTGTGAGGGGGAGGGCAGAAAATAATAAAAATGGAGAATACAGGCCCTTTAAAATCAGTAGTCCTATGTAATGAAAAGAAAACAAATTTAATATGAGAGGTGAATAAAATCATATTTTTCCAATCATTTCATATTTCAATCATATTTTTAGCCATAGGATATGCTTTGATCCATTTGAAAGGTTGTGGAAAAAAATACAGTATCGCAATACTTGAAGAAATTATTTCTGAGGTTTGATACGTTGAAACAGACAGAATTCACAAGCTGTGCCTCATTTAAAATATACTGGCAAAAACTACAAGTACAATGATTCTTATTCAGTGTTTTACATACTGAGCAATGAAACATGTATTTGGTCAGCATTCTTTACTGACGATGTCCATGGTATCCTCAGGAAAGCATAGTGTTGTAATTTATCAATACTGTAATCTTGCCCACCCTTTAAAGTGTCTGATTTGTGCTCAGATAATTGTTGAGAACATAGGCCTATGGACCAAAGGAAATTTAAAGGGCCAGCAGCTAAGGGCCAGCAGCTAAGCCCCACCCACTCACACTGAAGTTATAAGGAGTGTTTCAGCCCTGACTGCTGTTTGAATGAGACAGAAGCCAATCAGAACAGATCATTTATATACAGCAGCCTTAAAGCTACAGTAACAAAACCAGCCTGTTTAGAGATAAAGACATAAAGAGAGGTGGGAATGGTCATGTAAAAAATTAACTGTGACCGGTTTTGGTACATAAAAATACCAATAACGTTAGAAGTGGATCTAAAGGGGAAGAAAATAAAATACAAGAAAAAATGTAAGATATTGACCCTTTAACATTTCAGATACAGACGTTAACGGGTTATGGTAACGTTAGCCAACCGCTCTCATCTTCCAACATTAGTGGCAGTTTGCAATTCAACTCAGCTGAACAAACGAGCAAAAATAGGCTTGTAAAGTTACAATAACAGAACAAATGTTTCAATTATTCTGTAACAACTTATTGGACATGCATGAAAGGCAAAAACACAAACACAGAGAAAGGTAAACACGAGTACCACAGTTCCCATGGCTGCCACTTGTCAGCCACCACACAGCTTTCAGTAGCGTTTGTGTAAACGGCTTCATGTCATTACCTACAACCACGCTTCTTCATCACGTTAGCCGACCACATTCAACACTCGGCATAAAATATCAGCCTCGAAAAGTTTTAGGACACTTTATCAGTAATATGAGAAGATGCTACTTCACGGAGTTAGCCTACCGTGAGAGCACCTGAGCAGTTCGTCAGAGAAGGAGGACAGACAGAGAAGTCACTCACCTCCAGACACACGCCGGGAAAGTTTTCAAACCTGCACCAGTAAAATTAGCCGTTGTGGAAAATCCAACTTCAGTAAAAGAGAGTCGGCCCGGCTGTGGTTGAACAACGTTAAGAACAGCGGTCTGTACTGTCCGCCACAGCTTCTGCTCTCACAACCAGCCGGCCGGCGTTCTCAGCCCTGCGTCGTGGATGTGAAACTGCGGGCGACTAGCAGCGTCTAATGATGAGACGTTCGATTCGGTTCACAGAACCGATTCTTCCAGACTGACTGATTCAGTGAATCGAACAACGGTTCATTGATTCACAAGTCATTATCTCATCTTTTCCATTGAATAACGATGGATTTTTAACGATCGAGTCTGATGTCCACGATGTCCACTCACGAACGGGGTCGTAATGCACCACTGATAAAGGAACCAGCTCCGCTCTATGGAGAGAAAATTAATGATAATATGTTTTCATGTGTTGCAGTCTGTGGTTGTATGATATACTCGAGGTTAAATTGTGAAAGATCATGTAGATTAGCTAGGAGGTTTTGATCTGTATCAACCTGGAATCATTTCGATTGAGTTATTGAAAAGAATCGGTTCAAATGAAAGGTTTACGAGTCAGACGTAGCCAGCCAGCGTCTCCGTTTCGGCGACGCCGGGTGTGATGGCCCCGCCCCCCAGCAACGGCCGCGCTGCGGAGAGCGGAGACCAACAACAAACAAGAACACCGAGTCACGTGATTAAAGACCTGCAGCCGCTTGTCTAAAACACCTTCACGATTGTTAGACTGAAGTTTCCCATTTCACCCTAAATGAGCTGCGTAGAATCTCTTAACCGAAATGTTTAAAGAGAAATTCAACCAATTTTATTCTGAATTGGTTGAATTCCCCTCTAAATGAAAAGTAAAAAAACTGTTTTAGACCCTAAATTTAAATTATTGGCAGTTACAAAAGTTGCATTCAAATCTGCATTTTTAAATATGTTTATTTTTTAATGTTTTGCTTTCGTTTGTTGTCACATTCATTTCATTATGAATGTTGGGTAACTTACAAACGCAATTCCTACTGAAGTCTGCATCCCAAGCAGACCCTCTAAAAGTTTGTAAAAATTAGCCCCCTCCAGCCCTGTGGACTTTCTTGGTAATGCAGCACATTAAGTCTGTATGTCTGCAAGTCTGAAGAAGGCCAGAGATTTAGAACCTGTCCCAAGTTCACACTACCAGGGTGAACATTGGTACACCCCTTTAAAACTCAGCCCTCTAGTCTGTCCTCTTTTACCATCCAGAGAACAATCAATACCACAAGCAAAAGGAGCTAGCTAGAGAAATGCAATCTTTAGCTTACAGAACAGTTTTTCCTTGCAAGAGGTAATGTTTTGCAATACACGTCTATGCTCTTATTTGGAGTTAGCCATGCTAGCTTGTGCTACATCAATACACTAACTTGTTATCCATTGGATAATTTTGATCAGCAAAATATCGCCTCCTATTTTGAGCACCACATTCATTTATTCTTTACTCAATTTTGAGCACCACCATTGGTTTAAAAATTTCACTCTCAGTTTGTTCACATGCTAATAAGTCTACATTTCCACCCACATTCAGTCCAAAATGTCATGGTTGTCCCCAGAGTTTCTCTGCATGTTTTAGAAACAAAAACACAAAAACGCAAGTGTGACCTTTAGTACAAGCCATTAGATTGGGTTGTCAAATAGTGACCAAAAAAGCAAAAAAAAACCCAATTTTTACATATTTGACAATTCAAATATGCTTTTTGAACCTGATTTGTGAATTTTCTGGATTTTCAGTGGGTTTTTTGTTTGTTTGTTTGTTTGTTTGTCTGTCTGTTTTGGTGTGTTTTACTGTTTACATGTCATAATGATCAATTCAATGTGTGGCTTTGCTGTTTTTGCAGTTCGGTCATTTTAGGCTACTGTATGAACCAACGTATTGCTCAAAAGATATTCTAGATCCTCTATGTCAAACACGAGGCTCACGGGCACAATCCTACCCAGACTGCAAAAAGAATTTTGATTTTCTATGAATGTAGCCTGTTTCACAATGCACTTCACTACAATCCCCAACATGCACTGCAACGTCATGTGCACTCCCACCCCCCTCCCCCAAAAACAATCTATAGGACAGCAGTTACACCACAATTCTACTTAATTCCATACCAGTCATATCACCAAACACAATAGCTGCATCTCAGCCACAGTTCAACCATTATAAACACTATAAACAATCAGCAGCTCAGATATTGACCCTGAAAACGAATTAACTTGCAGCAAGAAAAGATCTATGTGTCTACATGACAACATGATATAGAGCACTATTGTCCCACAAAGCAGCACTTGTCACGGCTTTTGGTTGAAAGTGAAATATAAGTCATGTATGAGTCCTCTCTGTTCCAATTATTCCACCAAATCTAAAAATGAACTGAAATCTCCTTCAGTCGCTACAAATCAATTCGGCTCAATGTTGTCTGTGGTGGCTGGTTTACATTTTTACAAAGCAGAAGCACACCTGAAGTCACCCATGGTCAGGCTGCTGAAACAGCCCTGGTTAAATGAACAGGAAACTGTAGAGAAGGCAATCAGAGTGCACACCCTTCCTGTCTGCTCCTGAGAGGCCTGGGCCAATTCCAAAGAGTCTGGATCACAAGCAGGAATCTACTGGAAGCCCAGCTAGTGAAGAAGAGGCCTGATTAAGAATGATATGTTAGATCACTAATGATGTAGGTCATTCTGGGAAAGACCATAAAAGTGTATGTTCTGACTGTCACATTGTAACTGCTTTGCACAGTGACAGGTCCATAATATTTGGTATTAAAAAAAACATTTTTTCTGATCTTAGTAAAGGTTCCCCCTTTACTAGATGTTCAAACAATGATTTTTTTTAAAGAAATACCCAACATTTTTCATAATGCCACCCTAATACCATCTGGGTGTTGATAATTTCACAACAGCCCAAACATTTTTTGTGTGTCCTTATGTAAAGCCCTTTATAGACTACAGTTCATTTGTAAAGCTATTTAATGATTTGTTTATATCGTTACTGTCCATAGAAAAACAGGGATCGTCAAAATGTTAACTTCACAAGAAAACACAACAGCAGTATTTAGAGAGATTTTTTTCAGTTATGTGTTCATAACTCAGCTGATATCTCATTAGCATTGGAAATAAGCAGGGACGTCCTTGAAAAAAGACATTGTCTAGATGGCAGCATATGTTGCTCCAAAATGCACATGCACCCCTCAGCATTAATGGTGTCTTCACAGATGTGCAAGTTACCTGTGCCAATGGCCCTAACATACATTGGTAACAATTGGGATGATCCTTTTCCTTTTCGGTGTAGAGAACAGCGTCCATTATATCCTAAAACAATTTGAAAAATGGGGCACAGAACGTTTCCATTCCATGTCAGTCCATTTCAGATGAGCTTTAACCCAGAGAAATCGGCAGTGTTTCTGGATGTTGTTAATATATGTTCTTTATAACAAAGCCTTCCTTCATATATTTTTTTTTTAGTAAATTATTTTAATATCTTTTAAATGCTCTGAAAAGTCTTTCTACTGTTTGTCCTTAAAAATAAAAGTTTGCTCTATTAATCAATATGATTATTCAATTATTAATATAATCAATAGTTACAGACCTAGTGGTGTCTTTTTCAAAATTATGGTTTAAATGACATTATAATAGTTGTTTGAATGACATCATGACTGAGCAAGCTTTACTTGTCCTAATGCATAATTATTTTACAAAAGTCCATAAATATTTTTTGCACAACAACGAACATATAAAACAACCACAGGATTATAAATAGCTGTCTGTGTGTTGTAAATCATGCAAACTGCGTTGAGATCTCACATGATACAGAACTCTTTTAGGGTGACGCTGGCAATGCAAGGGCAGCATCATTCCAGAGGCACACAGCTGCATGTCATATAAATGAGACAATTTTAAAATCCGGTCATTTGTATTTCTGATTTCTTATAGGTTAGTGCTCAAATTAAACTAAAACTAAACTAAAAGCCTATGCTGCCCCTTTGTGGGCAGTGCTGTAAATTGCACCCAGAAAAGATCATTTAATTTTCCACAACATACATAAATCTACTAAAGAGAGCTGGGGGTGAGGGGCAAATGGCACTAATTTTCACATTAAGAAACAGTGCAGTATTGTTTTCTATTAAATATGCCTTTGAATGTGTATAATAGTTCAGCTCCAAATAGAAACATACACATTATAGTACATTTTAGAGAACCATGTTACTAATTATGTTACTAACCTCCACTGCTTAAAAAGAAGCTGCTTCTGCAGTCCTCATTCTAAGAACTCATCCCCTACAGGCCTGGCACCACACACCATGAAATGTAAAATAGTAGCAATCACTGGATCAGCTTTTGGCTCACCTTGACTTCTTGTTTGTCAGTGGTGGAAAGCTGTCTGTGCCTGTCTTGTTGAAAACAGCTCAGCTCAGCTACAGTGATTTCCACCTCACCTAGTGTGACATTTGTATCCTTTTCATTCCTTGTTGGAGTCTTTGTGTCAGGCATGGGCAATATTCACTGTGAGCACATGTCCAGCGCTGCCCATACTTCTGCATGTGGCAGTCTTGATAATGCATTAGAATTAGCGAATGTCAAAATTAATCATGGCCAACTGTGCTTGGTGGTTTTAAGCTTAGCTGGATACTTCCATGTATTATTGATGGTTGGCAGGGTTGGATAGAATACTTTAGTAGATGTCTGAATACTGAATACATTACTCTAAAAGTATTCAGTAAAGCGTTCCATTAGAATATTAAAAAGTCACACATTCGGAATACGCTTAGAATGCGTGTACAATACATCTTATTAAGGCATATGACTTTTTTTACTTAATTCGTACTGTTCCTCACTGTCACTAGTTGGCAGTTTTCTTCATGTAATCATTCTGTTAATACATTTCATGCAAAATGTATCATATAAATGAAGGAGATTCTTAACTTTTTTTCCTCTCTCATTGCCTGCTCCAGTCCTCTTCCCACAACCTTTCGACACCAGTGCTAAACTTATCACTCACATGTCCACTACTGAGGAAGTTACTAGTTTGATCATCTCTGAAAAGAGTTTGGTAACACTGAGATTATTAACTGTCTCATTACCTTGATTTATCAGCCTACTCAGCCATTAGCAGAGCTCATTAATGCTGAGATTAATAACTGATCATCACATTGATTTATCAGTCTACTCAGGCTTTAGCAGAGCTCAGTAACACTGAGATTAAAAACTGGCTCATCACAGTAATTTATCAGTGTACTGAAGCTTTAGTACTAACTTCGGTGTAAAGAAACCATTAATTGAGGTCCTCTTTAGAATTGATCTGACGAGTGTGTGTGCTACATGCCATGAACTGATTCTTAAATAGTCAATAAACAAGGATTGATGATGTTTCCTCTGAAAATTGCTTTTTTTATGTAGTGGGTGAGTATTCTAAAATTTCTTTTTTAAATATAAAAAGCAAATGTATTCTGAATATGGCTTTTACAAAATGTAACTTGGACTGAATACATATAGTTTATTTCTGTACCCTGAATATGTATTCCCAATACTTGTATTCCATTACATCCCAACCCTGATGGTAAGTACTACATACTTATTGCTGTATGTGTGCACATATAGCTCAACCATGACTGTCCATTTCAGCACTAGAACTCTAATTTGTGGGTTGGATAGCATGGTTCAGCTGAGGCAAGTCCCCCTTCATATAAGATATGACTTGACCGACACAGTCTTCCTCCTGAGGCATCAACCTGCAGAAAGAAAGATAAATTGTAATCAGGCTATCCTAGTACAGGAGCTGTGATGAGTTTGACATTCCGGGTTTGGAAAGCAGTTTGACAGTTATTAGTATGCTGGACAAGCACTACAACCTTAAGATGATCTACTTGTTTTTTTTCCTCCTTATTCCTCCAGCTGTAAAATGGTACAGGGGTGCTGCAGTGGAGGCATATCCATCTATGAACGAGTGAGAATGCCCATAGAAGAAACACAGGAAAGTTCAGGAGGTACTGCATCTCTTTCCTCTGCAACTGACATTTCTGTGGCCTTGACTTCGGCCATGATCTCACAGTCCATTAAAGACTACTTGCAAACCTAGACAGATGAGCAAGATCACAAAGTTTAGATCCCCAAAACAGCATCATCAACCTTTAAAAGACTGATGGTGTATTCTGCAGTCTGAAAAGCAAGTGGTTTGCCTCGTACAACCCCTTAGGATTGCTGAAAACAAGCCTTTGTTTATTATACTTGGTATCTCACCTCACTAATAACTACAAGTGAGTGAGGTCAATGGTGGACAAGCATTTATCCGGCCCCACAGCTTCTAGAGCACCCTCTGTTCTAGGGAGGGGAATGCATTTCTAGACCCACAGGAGATTGGTCTTTAACCACATGAGCAAATCCTAAGAGGCCCATCCCTTTGCTCAATGTCTCTTCTGAGTTAATTCTGATTCTCAGTTGCCTAGCAGTGTGCAGTAGGGTGCAACTACTGAGGTCTTGTACAGAGAAAATATCTCCACTGACTTCTTCACTTAACTGACTAGTGGTTTTTTGGTTTACCACTATGACTTTCTGAAATGCAGCCATCGCTTTCTTGCTCGGCTCCACTCAACAAAACATCTTAAAGTTTTTGGGAGGGCAGTTAAGGCTGTATATTTATTAGGCCATCTGAACCTTTGGGCCACAATCTATACAGTAAATGCTGAGAATAGTCCATGGTCTAAACACTTCATCATTGACTTACTTGATAATCAATGCGGATATCCGGCTAAATCACCCTATCACACAGGCCTAATGCTTATTGTGTCCTGTAAACTTTACAGTGCCAATTGTTCCTTCTACTCCTGTCTATTCAATTTTTTACATCATCTGAATTGAGTACCTATTCTAGGTGTGCCATCATTTTTGCCACGGGGGAGGGGCTCCCCTCAGGAGGGGATTTTTTTAACAACTGCAATGTTGAAATTACACTAACATTAAATAGCATGTTAGAAATGCTAACATTAATAACAATTATGTTGCATTTCAGAAATGCAGGGATGCAATGCTAAACATGTGCAATAATGCTACAAAAATGCTGCATGCAAAAAAATGCACAAATGCAAATTGCACCAACAGAGAAATGATACAACATATCAGTTTGTAGATAAACTAGATGATCTGTGAAGCACTTAACGTCTGCATTTAAACTCACACACATTCTAGCTCTGTGCGCTCTGTCTCGGGAGTTGCTTGGTCCTCTGGGTTTCACTGTGTAAGACACCAAACCCACCCTGCGCAAGAAAGAAAACCTTTGCTGCAAAGTCTGCAGGGAACTCATTATTTCTGTTGTGTTTGTATTCAGTAACAGTGCAAATGTGCATCTGATTTTTGTTTAAACCTGAGTTGGCATGTGCTTATTATAATATAACATACCTAGAATGTTAGGTATGTCATTTTAATATCATTTTAATTTTGAGTGAAGTAAAACACAGCAACAGTTTTTGAACCATTTTTTAATATTATTAGCTCTCCCACTAAGATACAATTTTAGCACTACAAAAACAATTTTTTTAAAATATCTAACTAGGCATTATAATAACACACATTATTAGATTTTATTTGCAGGTGTTGAAGATGACAACACAACCTTTCCAGGAAAAAGATGGATGGATGGATGATGGATGGATGGATGGATGGATGGATGGATGGATGGATGGATGGATGGATGGATAGATAGATAGATAGATAGATAGATAGATAGATAGATAGATAGATAGATAGATAGATAGATAGATCTGCCTGCATTTGAAAGACAGAAAATAGGAAAAACTAAAAAAATACAAAACATTATCACCTTGGATACATTTGACATTACAGCCACAAACAAGATTTGACCATTATTGCCAATATTTTGTGCATACGGTTTGTATTAATAATTACACTGAGCTGCTTCCACACTGACTGGGTGCAAGATGTAAAGTCAATCTGTTGTTTACAAATAATATGCAAATATAAATATACAAATATTCTGATTTGGTCTATTACAAAAAAATGATAGAGCCTGTAAACAGTGACAATCAGTAGCGGATTGGATGTTACTTCATTATGCTATAAACATTTTTGAACAATTGTTTGATTTGACCTTATGTTTATTCTTATAGTATATTTTTGAAGTCACAGAATAAAAAAAAACACTTTTGCGCTGATGCATTGTTCGTTTTATCATGTTTATGTCTTAAAAATCTACATACTATGCAACATATTGTGTATTATACTGTACCATGCAAAAGTCAGACCACCCTTCATTTACTTAATTTCTTAGGTTGGACAGTTGTTTTGCTATCAGCAAAACAACTCTCCTCTTAAAGGTCTGAACACCTGCCCCATAACGAGGAGGAAGCTTATGACGTGGCATCTGGGGTGGCCAATCAGGGAGGACACTGGCCACACTGCCACCCCTTTAAAACCATTTATGGATAGGAGAAGATCAAACTCCACTCTTGTTTCAAAGAAGCTGACAGTGTTCCCAGAGTAGGGTTGTCACCAGTTCCTTAAAAATAAAATACTGCATCCCTTATTGAATCAATATGGGACATGATTAGTTACATTTACGTACACGTCGTTTCATGCATATGCTAGGTCATCAAATTGATGCATAACAGTGAATAAAATCACAACTAGTTTCACAAGAAATAAGTGAAGAAGCTCAAAATCAGTAGGCAGAGACAGGCTAGCTCTTAAGGCAATTGCACATCAGTGTCATCATTGTCCTAATTACGGAGACCACTTTTTTTTCTTGGTTTTTAAAAGTCCACCTGCAAAATGCAAAAGGCTATGGAAGTACAGATCTGAAAGGGAGGCGGGACACCTGTGGGTCTGTCTTGTCCCTGGTAACAGTACAGATCAAACTGTACAATTTGTCATAGAGTTTGTTTGGGTTGCTCATGGTGGACTGCCTGGGTTAAAACAGTATGCGGCTGGTGATAACAATGTCGGAGCTGCTAAAAAAAAAAGAAGACACACACTGTAAAAACTTGCTGTAAATTAACAGCTTTCAATTTCAACTGTTTTATAACTGTATTATACTAGTATACACAAAAAAAACAAATTGTAAATTTACAGCTGTTTTTTACGGTATTATCATGTTATCTCTAAAAACAGCTATTTCTTGTAAAACTATTGCATTATAGGAGTTGTGTGATATGGAGCTAGCGTAGCAGTAGCTTGTGGCAATTCCTTGTGATTTTCATCCACCTTCATGTTTTACATTATAGCATGGCATTTCATTTTGCTTGTGATGAAATGCAAAACTCATCTATAACATTTCCAGCTGTCTGGATCACCTTCAACAACGAGCCATCGAATGCTGACAAGACTGAATACCGTCTCAGCAGTGCATTTTCCCTTAAGCTTGCCTTTCCCTCCTGGAGAGGAGAATTCAGAGAGAGAGAGGGAGCATTTAATACCTAGCTAACTAAATTAGCTAACAGTTGAATTCTGTGGTCATGTCTGTCGTTTTTTAAAAGAGAAATTACAATTTTGTCAGAGAAAATGTGTTATGTATGCAGTGTTTGGCCTGAGTAACATCTCTCTGCACAAAATACCACACTAATGTAGTTTAGCTAGTTGGTATCTGAAAGCATTTGCAGCATGCTAGCCTTTGGTTGATATTAGACTATTTCATATAACTAGCTCTGAAGAGGGGGAATTCAGGAATCCATTCAGTGGTGATACTGCTCTTCAGTGAGGGAGAGATATATGTGTGTGGTGCATGCTGTTGTTATTCTGCCTAAACTAAACAATTAAATTGTCGTGTGTTCTAATTATTTGCCACTGCAGCCGACATGAAGGGGACCCTACTGGCAACTCCTCAGCTGCTGTTGCTTATTAAGTTTATAAACCGCTGCTAAGTTTATAAAGAATTGCCAACAACAACAACTCTGTATTTCAGCAAAATGGCCCTATCCTTGCTGCAAGGGGATAACTCTTCATTTGTTTTTGTTTTTTTTTTTCCAGGTGAGAAAACAGCAATCTGTATTGAATGCTGTAAGATCAGTCGTGAGGGACACATCATCTGTAAGGGCATACAGCCAACTGTCTTAACCAGGCTTGCTTCTGTGTCTCCGATATGCAGTGGTGGACAGTAACGAAGTAAATGTAATTCGTCACTGTACTTAAGTACATTTGAAGGCAAATACTTTTGTACTTTTACTCAAGTGGAGGTCTAAAGGGAGTGATATTTTGCCTTGGGTATCTCTAACTTAAGTACATGATTTGTGTACTTCGTCCACCACTGCTGATATGCCTCTAATAGTGAGTCACCATTATTGCAGTGTGATTTCATATGGTTGCACTGGAGCTTGCACTTGGTTCTTGTCTATTGAAGGAGAAACAGCTCTTCCAATCAACCTTCTTAGTTGTTTCCAGGTGTTTAGCTTGCCATTCCTCAATCAATGAAGGAAGCCAAGTGCTGAGTCCAGTGCAACCACGTGACATCAATCTCCCAAACTGCACTCCAATGGTAGTCTACTAGTAATAGCATTTAGTCTACGTTTAATAATAAGTACAACTAGAAGAGGGAAATTTGTGGTCAAATTTTGTGTTGACTTGACAAAGCCAGCTGGAGATGCTTAAAAAGTAAAAGTAGTCATAGCTGTTGTACCGTGTTGGGAGATGAGAAGCAAAAAAACAGAGAACAAAATACATAGGAATAACTACTCAAACTAAGAATCAGCAAAACACCCTACAAACATACCACAATAGGGCAGGGCTACAGACTACACACAGGTGAGACAGATGACTGGGGAGGAGACAGACCAAAATGACAAAAGCACATGACAGACATAAACAAAACCACATGGAACAAGACGCAGACGGGAAGATAAAGGCAGACACAAACAGAAACAAGGAAAGACAAAGCAGGACAAGACAGGATTATACAGCTGTAGACTGTTGTATAAAGAATATTAGTTTATGTTTTTGCTGACATGACATCCAAAGAGAACAAGCTTAAACAGTACATATTTTATATGGGTAATGTCTAAGTTAATTTGCTGTTAATTTTCATGCCTAAATGCTTTCCTTTGTTGACATTTTCTGATGTGAAAAATGTGCAAAGGGCTTGCAGGTGGAATCATCAAGTCTTTATTTACAATAAAGCAACACATTTTGCAAGATATACTCTGCTTTTGTCTCATTTTTAAGTCACATGATTTAAATTACCATGTTAACTGTTCACTGAAATAATGAACCCTTTCATGCATGTTACATTTCTGGCAAGAATAACAAGCAGTACAGAAAAAATCTGTAGCTATACCTGTCAGGAACGTTAGTGCACCCTCATCAAAAAAGGTAATGAACTGTTAACCTCTAGCAGTATTATACTGTAAAAGTACTAAATTATGGTTGTATCCTGTATTTGTAAAAAAACAGTATTAAACCGCACATTTTTAGAACAGTAGGATACCATTAATTTAATGGTAAGTTCCTGGCAACGCTGCTGCCAGTTCTTTACTGTTTTTTTACAGTGAAATTGTTTACAGTGCAGAGTGGATTCACTCAGTTCTTTTTACCCCAGACTTCTGCTGAGGCAGGTATGGTATATTGTTGTTGTTTAAGTAATGTTTTATGTTTTATGATATTCTAATTAGATATTTGATTGAATTATGAAGGCTTTCCTGAATATTATTAACTGATGTTAATTCATAAAAATAATAGCGTTCACCGTTTTCTATTCAATAATCCATACACACCTGACTAGCTGACTGACTACAGAGTAAAGTGCTCCATTGAGAAAGAGAAAAGCTGAACAAACTGCTCCAGAGAACTTTTATATTTTATATTTCTATCTTTTATATAAGCTATATATTCTAATATATATATTCACTGATTACAGTGTTACACTGATTGTTTCCATGTTTCTGGAATGTTTACAATGTTTGGTCATTTAAACATTTGACTCAATCAAATCAGTATTGCAAATGCACAGTTTTGTTCAATAATTTTGTTTCATTTACTTTTCTGTGTTTTTTTTTAATTTTATCTTGGAAGCCCTTCCACCTTTATGTATGTGTTTCCACATACAATGTCAAATTGATTATTACTTTTATGAGTATTATCTCAATCTATAATTATGAATATATGTTGTGAGAATACCATTGCAATTCTATAGAACCAGGACAAATGGTTTGAAAGCAGCATTTAAAAAAATGGTAATGCACGCTGGTGGGATTGGAGGGTGGGTGGAGGAATGGCATTTGGGTGTCCCACTGAAGGTGGAAAACAAAACAATGAACTGGCCATCATGTGTTTGAGATTGCTTCGATTGTGAGAAGCAGGAAATGCAACCAACTTCTAAGACTAAACTTGGTGTGTGGAAAAATACCCCTGCAGATTTCTTTGAAAAACTGAAAGCAAGTCTCTTGAAAAGAATGAAAGAATGGGAGCTGTAATAATGAGAGTAGTCACACTGCATACTGAAAAAAAATTTGATATTATACCTAATTGTTGAGACGACTGTGTAACATTCTGTTTCCTGCTTAAGGAGGCAGAAAAGAGAATAGCTTGTATACTTATTGGCTATTTTGACAGGAAATGAAATAAACAAAGGGTGGTCCCTAACTTTTGCACTGTACTATATCTTATTTTTTTTCACACATTGCCCACCTTTAGTTGTGTGTGAGACAGTGAGTGATTCAGGCTTTCCTATAGGACACAGAAGGCACTTATATTTCACATATGCGTACTGGGGAGTCAGGACCAACTCTGAACCCTGCATAGAGGGGTTCAATGAACTTGGAGTGGAATGTGTATAAGTGGGTCAGTGCCTGTGTGTCAGAGGAGACACTATAGAAGGACAGAGTGCCGGCCAGCCAGTCCAGATACACTCCTGCTCTGTTGGAGGGGAAGGAGGGGTTAGGTATGATCGTTCTTTTCTGATTGTGCCAGACAGAGTAACTGTTATTAGAGAAGATCAGACTCCAGGACTGTTCATTCAGTCCAAACATGCAGTCGTCACTACTGCCTTTCCTGTGAATTCCTTTATACGTCACTGCCATTTCAGCCTCATTACTCCACTCTGCCTCCCAGTAACACTGTCCATTCAGACTCTCTTTAGACAGCACCTGCTCATAGTCATCAAATCTGTCTGGATGATCAGGATACGACTGATGCTCTCTCACACACACCACCTTTCTGTTCCCCTCATACAGAGAGAGCTGTGTGTGTGCTGTGTTCGGGTCCAGTGTGATCTTGCAGGCATCTGCACACAAGAAGAAACATTATGGCAGGGGACAACACTTAATGAGTGTTATTGTCTCACTGTGGTGTCATGGCCTGGATTAGTACTATTTTGGGGGGTGATCTTAAAGCTGATAAAGTAAATTATTAAATAGAGAGCTTATTTTGAATGATTTTATTTTGCTTAACATTTACACCAACCAAGCATTCTGTCAGATTTGCTGTCAGTTAGCCAGCTAGTTCTGATGAAGCTCCACCAAAATTCTATCAAACTTTTGAATGATTAATTTCGGCACGTAATATTTAAACCTACATTAAAATAGCCTTACAATTAAAATCAATTTTGAAGATCGTTTTGACCCTCTATGTTCTCAAAAGGGACTAATCTTATGTACTTCAAACTTTTTCCAGCATTTTCCAGGACAGTTATGTCTGATTAACAAATAAAAAAAAAGACAGATATGTTCATTATTTAATCATTTTTACAGAAGCACAATAAAAATGAAACAGTAAAACTGCAAATAGAAAAGCACTGAATTTCCAAAATAATCCTTATAATGCCCCAGAAAAGTCTGCATCCATTTTTGAGAGGTAATATGTTTTGTATGTATTGTATGTTTTGTTATTCAGATCTATAATTCTCAAAACAGTTTTTGTATTCACCGTTTTACTCTTTGTTGCATACAAGTGTGTGTATTTTATGTGGATATATGCTGTGAAATTATATTAAATAACAAAAACAAAAATGTCTGAACACTTATTTTCCCTCACTGTATTTTTCAGAAATTTCAGATGACCAAATAATTACCAATAATATTTATTATTTGATCATTGCATGTTAATCTCATTTCCCTGTTCTTTCTTTTCTGATCTGCACCTGTGTTGTGCACACTAGGAATGCATCAATACCATACTGAGAAACCTACTTAGAATTAAGTAGTTGGTACTTGTTGTACATTAACAGTTACATCATTTAAATCCAGCTGATATGCATTAGCTAGCTACACTATGTTAGTTACCTTGGGTTGAGTAGCGTTGCAGTGGAGAAGATCAGGTTTTGTTTCACATCAGAAAAGAGCTTCTGTACAGCTTTAAGCAAAGTACATCTCATAGTTTTGATCCCTGCTTCTTATTTGTCTCTTTCAATAACAGTCTCTGTAGCACAGTGATGGCAGGAATCACATCTGAGGCTAAAGCATCCGAACAGTTCAATTGGTTTTACAGTTTTACATCTTTTTGGTGTCTTTTGTGTGGCTAGTTATGTTGCAGTTTAATATCCTCTAAAGCCTGGCATACACAGTGTGATTTTACAAATCTTGTTCTTTGGTGACACACTGTATGTTTGCATAGATCGAGTATAGCATACAAGGCATAAGAATTGTATGCTTAAACTGTCAGGGGTGGTCTTTGCACTAGGCAAAGGTAGGCAGCCACCTAGAACCCCCATGTGCTAAGGGTACCCTGAAAATACATATTTGATGTAATGCATGTGCTGATGTTCAATAATATATTCTAAAATATATATAAATGATAAAATTAAGTGTTATTTCTGACTAGTGATTATATTCAGTAATTTTGTTATGCTGCTCACAGCTGGTATACAGCTTCATTGTTCAGCTATAATGTGAGCGTTTTGGTTGTGTTGCTGTCTCTCAGTGGCATTGCATCTTTCATTGACTAGTGAAAGATGGAGGAAAGCAAAAAGTTTGTTGATGCACTACCAAAGTTCACATTGTTTTTTTCAGTCTGAACAGACTACTGCACAGACTCAGCAGTACATAATTCTAGTGTTAACGTTGGAATAGATAGCTCCAGTATTGGGTAATTACTCCATTACAAGTTACTAATTAATTCTCTCAAAATATGCTGGGGTTATTTCAAATTATTTCACCTTATTGGAAGGTAGTTCATCAATATTTCTTAAAACGAGCAAACTTACCAGCCATTATAGTGATAGTTAAATAATCCTATAGAACTCTTACATCAATCTCAAAATGAGAAATATTAGATTTTATCAAGTAGATGAGTTCACTTTCCAAGACATAATATTTTTGCAGATATGACACTCAGGAGCTCAGAGCCTCAACTCATTTTAAAATGTGCATCCGGGGGCCCCATACCAGTTTTTTGCCTAGGGCCCCCTTTTTATTCAAAACAACATACTGCGTGTCCCAGTACTGAGCAAAAACAATAAACTGAGCTACAACTAACTTGTGCCAAACTAAAACTGGGCGCTGATGTACATGAGTAGGACAATGGTCTCCCTACAGCCTATTTTACAAAGACAATTTAAAAAATCAATGTATTAACAGTTATACCTCACAATCCTATTGAGTCAAACATAATCAAACCATAAATAGATATTTATATAATCGCAGGGTGTATGTTTGGTAAGAATATGCCAAGGCAGAATGTTTAAAGCGACCAACGAGTTTGCATCCAACTGCCACAGTGTCAGCAATACTGTGCTATGCAAGTAGACCCTCATTCGCTCCCAGCTTGAGTTGTTTGTTCATCAATGTAGTTCTTTAGCCTCATGGTATCAGGTGATATTGTACGTTGGTATCAGTGCATTTTTTACAAGTATGAGTAAGTGAACACTGCATTGGGCCAATACCCAACATGTTGACTTTGATGTAACTGGAATGGACACCACACTTCTGACCAGCTCCGTGACCCATAACAGTTTCAACAGTTTTCATGACTGATAAGTTATTAAGCTGACCAAGTCCACTTTCATATGAAGTTAAATTCTTTTAAATATTATTTGGGGTGGTGGGTAATGGTTTTTGGGGGGGCATGCCTGCAAAATGTATATTGGAGAACATTTGTGAGAACATTACACTGAACCCAGTGAACTTACACTTTCTTAGGCCTGGTTTAATTCTGTTCTCCCCAGCATGTTCCACCCTAAACAAAATAGACACAAACACACACATGCAATAATAATTAATTGAAATGAAAATTAGTGCACACTGTACAACAGTGTTTTTAAATTGCCATTAAACTTCATCTTAAATACTTTTTATTAAAGAGTCAACAGTCCTAAGAAAAAAATCAATTGTTTGATTTTAAACACTCTTTCAAAAGCTAAAAGACTAACAGTCTCATCTAATAATATTCAGTTAGGCTTTAAGCTGAAGTATTTGCTGAACAATTCACTGAAAAACTGCAATATACAAAGTAAAAATGTTACATGCATGTCTTACAAGCTCCAAAAATCGGTGTTTAAGTTAGAGCGGCATAGTGTTAAACGCAATGTGGGAAAATTAATGTACACTACCATTAGCTTCGGTGCATCAACTCACTTGAATGTCCCATTACTTTATGTTGGTACAGGTTGTGTTAGGTAATCTAGCATGCTTTTAGACAATTCGCCACTGTTAGCTAACTAGGTTGCTAATAATAACTAGTTAAGTATGAACATGTTGTGTTTACACTGGTTCACAGATAATAAAGTAGCTTGGCTAGCTCTTTTAAATAACGAAAACTGAAAAATAAAATGCAGTGAAGAAAATGGTCCCTTTCCTGCATAAGAAAAGTACTTTTGTTGCCTACTTTTACTATAAATCTGGTGATACTTTATGTTTTGGTGTATTTGTGCCAGGTGCCTGAGCCCCAAGCACTGCTGAGAACCAAGAGAGGCGGCGTGAGGCCAGTGCCAGAAACAAGAGCGCTGAAGAGAGCCGCAAGAGGCGGCGTGTGGCCGCACCCAAAAGCACCACATACTGGTGATAAGGAGCAACAACTCCCCTCTCCTCTCGTGTGCTTGTTCTGTCACTAGCTAGCTTAGAGTCAGCAGCACAGGCATCTTTAAAAGGAGCAGAGAGGGAAGAGATAGAGACCAAGAGAGAAAAAAAAGCCAGCTCTGTTTCTGCAACCCTAGAAACAGTTCCTGATTCCTATAATTAGATGAGTGACTGTAACCATCCAGGATGCTTTTCGGAGAAATTGTCATCATTTTGTAAAAAATGTTTTTAAGCTTGTGTTGGCACAACCCATTTTTGATCCCAAAACATGCAGTCCAACTTCTGAAATCCTACTGGTTGCTTATTGCATTGTATGTTTATAACATTAAGATGAAGAAAGACTCAACATAAAGATGAAAAATAAAATGCACACCCTTTACTTCCTCCATAAGCATTTAAGCTGCAAGACTTTGTGAATATGACAAACAAGGCAAGAACGCAGGAGGGAAGACCCTTGTGCAGAGAAAGAGAGAGTGTCAACCTCACCTAAAAGGGCCAGATTAGAGTTTCAGAAACAGCTCTATAAGCTATAAGCTTCACAAGGATTTTATTTGGATGCCGCTGTTTCTACTGGCTAGTTACTAAGTTTTCAAATGGCATTTGGCAGTCATGATTTTAATCGGGCATAACTGACTGTGTCTTGTTCTAAAGCAGGGACACTGACATACCTAAATGTTTAGTGATTGGCTATTTTCTTCTAAATCAAGAACTGAAAAGTGGCTTTTGATGTGTGCTTTCCAGTTAGTACATATTTATGCTGGCTTTTGAGTAACAACCGCAACACTGACATAATGACCATAGTAAATTGCAAAAAACAGTCTTTATTCTTTTAAAATGATTTTAAGCACAAATAAAGTCCTAAATAAAGTAAGTTGGCCTGAGAGCCTTGTCTGAAGTACAGATGGAGCTCTACCATAACACTAAAGAAGTTCAGTGACACAAATTCATACAGACAGACTTATACTCACAATGGATCCTGCACTGTTGCAGAGAGCAGCTCAATTCCTGAGTCTCCTGGGTGATTGTAGGTCAGATCTAGTACTTTCAGGTGTGAGGGGTTTGAACTCAGAGCTGAAGCCAAATAAGTACAGCCTTTTTCTGTGATCATACAGCCAGACAATCTGCAGAGAGGGAGAACAAAAGGAGAGCTGAGATGTTGTTTAGATCAGCTTTAGTCTAGTTTCCATAGCTGCTCAATTTTGGCTGCAAGCTCCTTAGTTAGTAGTTAGCAAAAATTAGCTAAGTTATGAAAAGTGTATTGTTACCTACTCATACTACAACAAGCATGAGAAAGTTCACTGCTAACTGTCATACTGATGGCAAAGTGTTATGTAATATAATCAAGATATCAATAAGGCTGCATTATATCTCATTAACTGTATGAGTCCCTCCCCTAGATGGGATTTGAGACAGACTTTTATAACATCTGTCTCTTTTTCAGTAATCAGAGGGAGAGAGGTGTAAATTAAAACAAATAGATATGAAACAATCACCTGATTTAGTATAGGGTTCAACATGTATTTTTAGCTGAAAATAATCATGTAAATGATAGTTAAATGATTAACTGAATAAATTTAAGCAGGCACAAATTTAACACAGGCTGCCCAAATGATTTAATCTAAATAGCAAAATGATAAGCAGCATGTTATGTGCTGCTCTCACCATGTATCAAACAGGCTTGACACATACACTATATGGACAAAAGTATTGGGACACACCTCCTAATTATTGAGTTCAGGTGTTTCAGCCACACCCATTGCTAACAGTGGATAAAATTAGGCACATAGCCTTGCAGTCTTGATAGACAAACACTGGCAGTAGAATGTGTCGTACTGATGAGCTCAGTGACTTTAAACATGGCATTATCATAGGATACCAGCTCTGCCACAAGTCAGTTTCTGAAATGTATATCTTGCTAGATCTGCCCCTGTCAACTGTAAATGCTATTGTTATGAAATAAGAGCACCTAGAAGTATCTTGAGACCATGCAAACTCACTGGGTAGGGCTGGCGATTTCTGAAGTGCACAGTGCCTATCCTCTGTTGATCATTCACTGAAGAGTTCCAAATTGCCTCTGGAAGCAACATCAGCAAAAGAACTGTGCATCAGGAGCTTCATGAAACGGGTTTCCATGGCTGTGCAGCTACACACAAGCCTAAGATCAAAATGCACAATGCCAAATGGGGGGAGAAGTGGTGTAAAGCACCCCGAATCTGGACTCTGGAGCAGTGGAAACACATTCTGGGCAGTTACAAATCACGCTTCTCTACCTGGCAGTCTGATGGATGAGTCTGGGTTTGGTGAATGCCAGGAGAATGTTACCTGCCTGACTGCATTGTGCCAAAAGTTAGTCAAAGGAAAAAATGCTTCAGCATACTAAGACATTTTGGACAATTGAATGCTTTCAACTTTGTGGGAACAATTTGGGGAAGGCCCTTTTCTGTTCCAGCATGACTGTGCCCAAGTGCACAAAGCAAGGTCCATAAAGACATGGCTGGGTGAGTTTGGTGTGGAAGAACTTGACTGGCCCACACAGAGCCCTGACCTCCACCTCACTGATACCTTTGGGATGAGCTAGAACAGAGATCACAAGCCAGGCCCTCTCGTCCAACATCAGTGTCTGACCTCACAAATACTCTTATGGATAAATGGGCAAAAATTCCCACAGACACACTCCAAATTCTCGTAGAAAGCCTCCCCAGAAGAGTGAAAGCTGTTATAACAGCAAAGGGGGAACCAACTCCATATTAATATTTATGGATTTAGAATGGGATGTCATGAAAACTCCTGTGAGTGTAATGTGTAGATGTCCCAATACTTTTGTCCACATAGTGTACATTTCCAGCATGAATGTATTTTAAAAATGTCTCAGGCATCAGCTAACATAATCACACATAATTTCACACAATTTCAACATAACTGTAGCCATCTTATGTGATGTCCCAGAGGAAAACTGTATTGCTGAGGTATTGTTATTTGATGGCTCAGAAGAAATAATGGTGATTCTCATACATTTCTTAGGAGAAATGTCATTAGACAAAAAGAGACATGACAGAGCTGAGAGATGAGTGTTTATACCTTGGCATATTTGAGCAAGAGGGGATGTGAGATTACTAGGCTTTTTTCTCAGGAGAAATATCTGAACAGCAGGAGACTTGAGCAAAGGTTTCCTTTGTATTTTCACCTAGCCATCATAAGAAATATTATTTTATGATCAAAAGAGCAGCATTCCCCCAATAAAACCTGGCCTTTTCCACCATTTCACTCCTGCACATGCACACCTGTATTAATAGGACTCTTACTAGAGTCATTAACATTAGGACAGGCAGGGGTCAAACACATAGGTACTCTAGCTAAACGCAAAACAAAAGAAACATGTGAAAAGCAAAACAGGGAAACCTAGGAGAGATCTAGACTTATTATTAGAATATTAGATTTATTAGAACTACTCTAGGGTAACACACCCAGATAAGAAAGACTTAAACACTATAACAAGTAAAGACTAGTAGCACTGTGTCAAAACTGTGGACATATTGAGTCACAAAGAAATACTGACCTGAGTATCTCCAGTTTACAGTTGGAATTATCCAATCCAGCACAGAGCTCTTGCACTCCTGAATCTTTCAGGTCATTGTTACTGAGGTCCAACTCTTTCAGTGTTGAACTGAAAACTGATGCCATTACTGAAGCAAGGAAACAACAGCCTTTTTCTTTTATCAAACAGCCAGACAATCTGCACAGAGGGAGCAAAAAAGGAGAGCTGAAAAGAGTGAGTGAAGGAAAAAGTGATTGTATTTATGGCCTGGAACTCACATAATGCATGATAATCCATTACAAGTTTTTCCTTAATAGAAAGCACTCAGACATAAGCACTCCACAAAGCAATCTTGAGTTGCATACTAAAATACATAGGTACTATTTATCCCTTTCATCTGTCCCCACCATAATGTATTGCCATTGCTATTACTAGTTGGCCTTAATCAAAACTCCTTACATATATGTAGTAATCCAGATTTATTCCTGGTCTGCAGCAAGTTTTCAAAGTTATCAAACCCAAATCACAGAAGGCATCTGATTAGTGTCTGCTTTATTCTGGAGGCTGTAGGCCTTTTGCTAAAGGCAAAATGTAGGCTAGTAAAGAGGGTCCAGATTAGAAGTCAGTGAGTATGCAAGTAAGTAGTTTACTTTGGTTCTCTCTGTAGATCATCTTCCATCATCTTCCACTGGGTAAATGGAAATGCTCACATTGGAATACAGAGATTTACACAACAATGCACATCTTTATCATCTATGCTGGTCTACTCTATTTCTATATAGAATGAAATAGGCTTAATGAATCATGTGCCTGCTCACATGGCCTGTCTAAGAACTGTAGAATGGATTTATTTGTCATGAGCTTTGATCCAATTTTATATTTACCACCATTTGCCATTTCTGGAAGCAAGGGAGCTATTATTGACATTAATCCTGTAGCGACAACCATTAAGAGAGGCTATTTCTACATCTTAATCTATGCTTCTCCTTTAATAATGTGACTTTTCAATGCTATTTTTTCATATGTTTTAAAATGTAAAGGACATGATTTGAAACAAATCAATAATATACCCATATCTTAACTCTGTTCTGAATGTGTATGCATGCTTACTAAGAATCTATCACAGTGCATCAGACAATAAAGGCAGCATTATGCTTCTTTCATACAATAACAGAAAACATGCTAATACATAGAAATCTCCACTTCCACACCTTGATACATTTAACTGTGGCCAAAGCGGACAGTGGAAGGCCCAAAGCTGAGTTAGTGAGTTAATGAGTTTAATGACTTCCCCAAAAAGTTATGGGTACCTTCACTCCACAGTGCTACAATATTTATGTTACTTATGTCAGCTTCTTCTATTGTTTTTTGAGATGTATAAAATAGATGATTGACATCATATGATCATATGTCAGTAAAGCACTGATCAACTAAAACTTTTGGAGTATAAAATTAAAATCTAAATTGCAATTATAAAAGAATATTAACCAATATTATGGGTTATTGGAAATTTTAAGCCCTTAAAATCATATCTGTTTGGCCCTAAACATATATAACAATCATCTAGATCATTTGAAAAGCAAAACAGGGAGAACAACAAGAAGTACACAGGCTATATGTGTGCAACTTTTCATTTACTAAAGAGTTATACTATGATAATTAATATAATAATGGATTAAACAGTTAGTCAGGCTAATCCGATACAAGGCAAAATCATCAAAAACAACAACAAGGGAAAATAGGGAAAACTAGGAAAGTAGATCAGAAGCAAGACTCATATTTATTAGAATATATGCAAAAGTACAACAACTCAAAACTCAAACCACAACATAAAACTGCAAGCAAAACCATGTTTTGGGGGGCATAACTGCTAGTAGCACCAACTACTTGTATCAGTGTTCCATTTAGAAACATTGTGGTCAATCACACATACTGACCTGAGCTTCTGCAGTTTACAGTCTGATCCCTTCAGTCCATCGCAGAGCTCTTTCACTCCTGAATCCTGCAGGCTGTTGTTACTCAGGTCCAACTCTTTCAGTGTTGAACTGAAAACTGATGCCAGAGCTTTACAGCTGTCCTCATTGAGGTTACAATGATCCAACCTTGACAATAAATATTAAAACTTTTGTAAGTCTTCTTTCAAAAGTTCAAAAGGAATTTGTCTCTAAACTTACAACATACCAACCTCTTTTTACAAAAAGTTAAAATATTAATGAAAATGATACTTGCAGCGCTTGTCTCGTGTTTTTCACCACTGGCAGTAGTCTCCTCAGTCCTTCATCTGATGGTCTGTATTTCCTCAATTCAAATGTCTCTCGAGTGTCCTCTGACATCAGCAACTCAAACACTAGAGCTGACCACTCTGTAGGTGAGAGTTTCTGTGCTGTGATCTCTCCAGAATTCAGGCAATTCTGGATTTCACTTGTCAGGGAGCTGTCTTTCAGTTCACTGAGGCAGTGGAACAGATTGATGCTCTTTTCAGATGCTGTTATCTTGATCTTTCTCTTAATGTAATCTATGGTGTCCTTCAGATTCTCTTCTTTGATTTCCAGTTTTGGCTGTAAAGCCTTGAGGAGCCTCTTATTTGACTGCAGTGAGAGGCCAAGAAGAAAGCGAATAAAAAGGTCCAGGTGCCCATTTTTACTCTCTATGGCTCTTTCTACTGCTATCTTGAGGGCATCATTCAGTGTATGTTTAAGCTTCCAAGTTATTTTCTCTGCCTGGGTTTGAAGTAATGGGTTGCGTCCATCACTGAACATGAGGAATACATATACGGCTGCAAGAAACTCCTGAAAACTCAAATGCACAAAGCTGAAGAACCTCTCATGTTTAAGCCTTTTGAAGATTTCTGTACAAACTCCAGAGTACACTGTAGCTTCATTGACATCAATGCCACATTCTTTCAGGTCGTTCTCATCAAATAAGAGTTGTCCCTTTTGTAGCTGCAGAAAGGCTAACTCTCCAAGCTTCAGTATATTCAGCACTCTTCCGCTCTTACACTCAACTGCTGGAGCTGTACTCTCCTTGTTTTCTTTTGTGTTGTATTTCTCACTATTTTCCTTCATCTGAAACAGGAGAAAATGAATGTACATTTCTGTCAGAGTTGTAGGAGCACTGACCATGGCTTTGTTGTTTTCCCAAAGCACAGTGGCTGCGATTTTACAGAAGACGGGTATGTGACACAAGATGTGAAGACTTCTTACTGACTTAATGTATGAAATGATTCTGTTGGCTTGATCTGAATCTCCGATTCTCTTTATGAAGTACTCCTCCTTCTGCGAGTCATTGAATCCACATATTTCAGTAACATGGTCAAAGTACTTGCAAAAATGATCGATGTACTGACTGGCTGCTGCTGGTCGAGAGGTTATCCAGATAAGAGCAGAGGGAAGCAGCTCTCCTTTGATGAGGTTTGTTATTAGTTTATCAAGAGTGGTCTTTTCTGTTACACTAGATACTTTCTTCTGATTAAAATCTAGTTGAATTTTACTTTCATCCAATCCATCCAATATAATTATCATATTACCATTATCTTTAAACATCTCCTCACTGTTTTCACCACAGATTTCATGATGGAAGTAATGCAGAAGATCCAAAAGGCTGTGCTCTTCATTTTTGATCACATTGAGCTCTCGAAAGGGAAGAAACAGAATGAAATCTAAATCCTGGTTGGATTTGTTCTCAGCCCAGTCAAGAATAAACTTCTGTATAGCGGCTGTTTTTCCAACTCCAGCTATTCCCAATGTAAGTACTTTAATACCATGAACATTAGACTGTACTTTGAAAAGGTCACTGAATTTGACTGGTGTTTCTTTTGATTTAGGATAAAAGGCCTCTATTTGTCCTAGTTCGTGCTCACTCTTGACTCCTCCTGTGCAGCCTTCAGTCACATGAAGTTCAGTATAGATGTTTTTCAAGAGCAAATTGTCATCTTCTAGTGAAATCCTGTCATATAGTCTTCCAAATTTTTCCAGAAAATATCTTCTCACGTTTTCCCTTTCCTTTAGTTTATCCCTTTTGATATTAGCTGTTAGAAAAAAAAACAAGACAAAAAAATAAATAAATCACATGATGCAGAATTCTTTTGACTAGCATGACTTACATTATCTGTAAAGAACAAAAGAGATCAAAATCAGGGCCAGTTGTTCAAGGAGGCACAATGCCTTGAGGCAGTTGTAGCAAATGTACCTACAGCTAATCCACCTTATGATTGCCTACTAATTGCATTGTACTTGTGAGACACAATGTTTAAAGATTACAGTAAGGAGAGCTGTTGAGCTGTGTGTACATACACTAAAAAGCAAAAACATTAAAACCACTGACTTCTTTCTTCACTCATTGTCTTTTTGGTGGATCATTCTCAGCACTGCAGTGACACTGCTGGACTGAGAATAGTCCACCAACCAAAAATATTCAGATATATTACATCAGTGTCACTGATGTAAGAGAATGATGTGTGTCTATATATATATATATATATATATATATAAATATATAATATATATATATATATATATATATATATATATATGTGTGTGTGTGTGTGTGTATATATGTATATGTATGTGTATATATATATATATACTTCTTACTAGTTATGAGTTTTAACAATGACTATGACATCAGCAGCATTACCCCCTCTGTATTTGGTCCTGAGTTCCTCAGCCAGTTGGTTCTCGTTCATCTTCTTCAGGACAGCTAGTGTGACCTCCATAGCTCCACTGTCACAAAACGTCCCCACTATCCTATCCACGGTCTCGAGTACATCTGCATTCTGGAGGTGAGCCTTTGGAATCTGAGGGAAACCTTCTACACCATTGATTAGATACCACTGGAACCGTTTGAGCTCCAAGTTTTCAAGAGTGTTCTGCAACTCATCTTTTATGTTTCCCATATTGTGTTACTGAAATTGAAGAAAAATGACAAATGGCTTAATACAGGGTTTTGGAAAGTATATAGAAAAGATATAAAGATAAGGAGTTTTCTTTATAGGTGATAAGAGTGCATGCTCAGCCAGGTCCATCTTGTGGTCCAGGATGACCAACACAGCTAAAAATGTGAACAGACGTTTGATAATGATTGATGGTTGAGAGTACACAATATTTGTTATACGACACACACAATTTATCACACAACAGAAATAATACGAAAAAATACACACACACACACACACACACACATTAACATTAACATGAGCGTAAAGCTATCTCAACTTGACACTTTAAAAAAAAATTTAATTATTATTATTATTTTTTGTCATTTTTGTATGTGCAGACTCTCTCTGTATGATAAACGGTTCTTGAGTAGTGAAGCCTAAAAACAGCAATTTGAACACTGAGTGGATTTTGGGTCAGACTAGCCAATCAAGATACATCTCTAATAATATAAAGCTTTAAGATACATAGTTTTACAGGCATGCTCACCTTACAAGCTTCAAATGTCAGTTTTCAATTTATAAATAGCATGAACCCCTTAAATGGCCAGTACCCAGCAGAAGGTCCAAAATCCCAACTACATTTCTAGCCCAACTGCAAAAAACACACAAATCTTCCTTGTTCACATGGGTAGGGCTTCCTAACAAAGCTGACTATGCTGTTTTCAGCTTCACCTATCTCAGCTGTGGCAAACCAAAACAGACACTTTAACAAAATTATATGACTGAGCACAAATATAGTGAACCTTAACACAATCATATATTTAGAAATGGATGTTTCCTACCTTTATATCTTCATAGTGGGCAGTATTAAATAAACAATTCCTTCCCTATCTTGAGTGGTAGCGTCTTTTCAGTGACCAAGAGCAATACTGAGTGCACAATCAGATTACAGTGGGTGGAGTGCACTAAACAGTGTCAATAAAACAGGTCAGTCTAGATCTAAGCAATACTGTGTACAAAACATGAAATGGAGTCACAGATTCGTTAAAGGACAGAGACTACAGGCTATTTCACCAACAATCACATTCGCTAAAGACCATTTAACCTCTAGTGAGGCCAGGTGATTGCTGTGGAATCCTCAACGGGTTTGTTGGAGGTGTACCTGTTTTTCATGTTGACAAGACAGAGAAAGGTGCACAGTCTCCACCTAATGGTGAAGACGTATGTGTTAGGATGCCACTGAAATGAGGGAATGCAACTAAAGAGAGTGGATTTTGGGTCAAATTAGCCAATCAACATACTGCTATAGTAATTTAAGGATTTAAGTTAAGTAGTTTTACAAACATACAAAGCAAAAAACAGGCTGCAAGCCTTACAAGCTTTAAATATCGGCTTTCAAGCTATAAGTAGCATGAACCCCTTAAATGGCCAGTACCCAGCAGCAGGTCCACAATTCCAACTACATTTCTACTATATATTTCTATAATTTAAGAATAACTCAGCCAGTTTGGATTGATTTCCATATAGTTACTAAATTTCAAGATGTAAGACGTAATAAGCCTGAGATTTTAGGGGGTCAAACAATATTTGGAAAGTGAATGAATCCCACTGTTAGATTGGTACTAACAAACCATAGACAATCCCTGTTAGTGGAAAGCAATTTTGACAAGCAGATTTGCTAGAAAAGTGCCTAACATTAGATATACCAGCTATCAATCTGAGTTAATGCTTATATTTAGAACTACATTAGCTCCCAATCAGAATTACCTAATAAATACTAAAAATTCAAAAGATCACAAGTTAATTCTGCTTTATGTTCCCCATTACTAGCTACACTGGCCCCAGAAGGTATTTGGACACATTAACAATTTAACCACTGTGTCAACTTGAAATAAAGTTCTTCAGGTTACTTTATAAAATGGTGTACAGTGGTGTAGGGAGCTTGTGTTTACTGATGAGCTCATGAACTCAGAAGTGTACAAACAATGGAGTTATGGAAAATTACAATGTTGGAATGGTCTGTTAAAAATAAATGCCACTTGGTTTGACATTTTCTTTCTTAATACAATTTAAGAATGGCACAAATGCCATTTTTTCACAAAAGTTCTTTTTGAGCCCACTGAATATTTCCTACTGAACTGAAAAAACTGCAGTCAAAGTAAACAGCAGGCAGTGAAAGAAGAATCCTAAAGTTTTTGATGGTCAAGGAGCATGGACATTGTTCACAAAATTGCTGTTGTTCAGACTTTCTAAGAAGATCCTCAATGCTTTTGGAGAGGTTGTGGTATCCAGTAACACCACAGGTCTATTCAGAGCTTGTGTTTGAATCATATGCTGAAAAATACTGGTTGTATTTCACTGCATTTGCTATTTGCCCTATTTGAATTCTATCATGCCCAGAAACAGAAAACCAGCGAACGATGGCATCATGAAAGTGACGACTGGCTTTCAAAGAAATCATTCATATAAAAGTGTTCTCATAATAACTCATAATGAGAGACAGGGACATTTTATAACACAGTAAAAAACCCAACAAATCTTCCTTGTTCACATGGGTAGGGTTTCCTAACAAAGCTGACTATGTTGTTTCAGTTTCACCTATCTCAGCTGTGGCAAACCAAAACAGACACTTTAACAAAATTATATGACTGAGCACAAATATAGTGAACCTTAACACAATCATATATTTAGAAATCAATGTTGTTTCCTACCTTTTACCTTCATAGTGTGCAGTATTAAATAAACAATTCCTTCCCTATCTTGAGTGGTAGTGTCTCTTACTGAGTGCAGGTTACAGTGGGCGGAGTGCACTAAACAGTGTCAAGAAATAGGTCAGTCTAGATCTAAGCAATACCATGTACAAAACATGAAACTTAGTCTGAGATTTGTTGAAGCACACAGACTACAGGCTATTTCACCAAAAGTCACATTCACTAAAGACCATTTAACCTCTAGTGAGGCCAGATGATTGCTGTGGAATTCTCATTGGGTTTGTTGGCGATGTATCAGTAACTGTTTTTCATGTTGACAACACTGAGAAAGGTGCACAGTCTCCACCTAATGGTGAAGAGGTATGTGTTACAATGCCACTGAAGTGAGGGAAGACAGGAATAGACATTGTTGCTGGACTTCAAAACACACTGAAACTTTTTGAAATGATGTTTATAGTCTTGACCCTGGTATCTGATTCTTGTCGAGCATTGTAACACAAGTTTTAAGATCTTCATTAAAGGCCAAAGTTGAAATGGCACTCTACATACATAAGACAGGCTATTTGGATTAGACATTAGAGTGTTAAGCAATCTCAACTTGACTCAATAATTTCACTCTTAGGTCCTGTGCACATATCCAGGTAATTTTTTCTCTGCATTTTGGCCTCCTGTCCACATGAAAACGATGTTTTCAGCCACTGAGAATGGAGGGTCGCTGTACAGCATCAACTTTTATGAGGTGTTATCACATCCACTGGGCTAAAATGCTAATGTGAGCACTTTCGAGTCATTTTTGGTTTATTGTTTGGACTGAGAGATTTTTTAAAATGTTGTTGGTGTGGTTGAAGCTTTTTTTGAAAACCGAGAAAAAAAATATTTTTAAAAATATCCAGATATGTGTGAAGACCGTAAAAATAAAGGTGCCAACTTTTGATCCCTTAAAGATTTTTTCAGTGGATGGTTCTCTAGAGAACAATTCTTTGTAAATAATTGTGTATGAAGAACCTTTTAAAGTTTAAAGAATCACCACAGAATGTAAAGGTTCTAGGAAGCACCCTTACATTGGTAAACATAATTTATATTATATAAAAGTTCTTTAAAACTTTAAAAGGTTCCTTACACTCACGCTTCTCATTTACAGAAATGGTTCTGTAGGAAACCAAAAGTGGTTCTTGGAAATGCAAATGCTCAAGGAAACATTTGTGGTACTTTTTTTAAAGACTGTGCTCAAAAGCTCCAATTTCTTAATTATAGTTCAAGTTGATTTTTCTCAGAAAATACACAATGAATGTAGTTTGCTCTTTACAAATTGTCAAAATCTTTGTTAGATTTTCATTCCCTCCCCTCAATTTGGTCATATGCAATTCTTTCCCATAGGCCAGAACTCCTGCTATCACATGGTGCCCCTTGTGCCAGAGATGACTCAGTGTTTCCTCCTCTAAGACTCCCAACCACAGAGGGATGTGGTATCACTGGGATTTAACCTCATGATCTCTAGGTCACAGGTTCCCAGCCCTGGTCCTGGAGTACAGTTTTTTTTTGTGTTGTCCAGCCTTAAATCACCCACTTCAGCTCCGAAATGGCTTGCTAATTAACTGATTGGTAGGATCAGGTGTGCTGGGAGAAGGGAAAACACTAAAACGTGCAGGACGGGGGGTACCTTTTCACTAAACTAGGTAAAATTATGCAGCTGGTTACCTTATAATTTAAATTTATCAGATTTTTTTGTATACTGTTTGAAAGCTTAGAATATTTCTTTTATTCACTATATGGCCAAAAGTGTGTGGACATATACTCTTCTAATTATTGAGTTCCGGTGTTTCAGCCATACACATAGCTAACAGGTTTATAAAATCAAGCACATAGTGTCCACATACTTTTGGCCCTTTAAAAAATTAATGGATCCTTATTTCAACACTTCCCCAGAAGACTAGAAAGAATGTGTTGAACATAAGACAAAAATAAATTCACACTGGACATTCTCTGAACAAATGCATGTAAGTACCAACTACTAAACTACACTCTTAAAATTATGGTTCTTCAAGGGTTTTTTTGTAAAGAAAATGGTTCTATATAGAACCATGAACACTAAAAAAAACCTTTACATGATTAATGGCTATTTGCATTGTGAAGGTGGCCTTCAGATTGATAGAGAATGTGCTGTAGATGGTTTTATACAGAACCTTTTTGAAAAGGCTTCTACATGGCACCAAAAGGGTTCTTTTATTGTTACAATGTCAAGCTTGTAATAATGGAAGAATGCTTTTTGTTGAAAAACTCTGGAGGGTTTCTGAAGAACCCTTTCATGAGGCAAAGAACCCTTTAATCATGCAAAGAGTTCTTTGAGTGTTTATGGTTCTATACAGAACTATTTTCTTTACTAAAACCCTTGAAGAACCATAATTCTTAAGTGTTTACTGTACTGTTATATAAGTGACATTATAGAGCCTACCTTTTATTTTCTACAGTAGACAGCTCCAGTTCTTCATGTTCACAACAAGAGAAAGGTGCACAGTCTCCCTCTGTTGGCCATACGGCTTTGTGTTAGGATGCCACAACACTAAAGAGAAGAGAAGGAATATACTGAAAAGAGTGATACATTAAATTTACCTGAATCAAATGTGTGCCGTCAGTTCAACATGGATAAAACGTATTACATGAATCCATTTATGTGTTGTGACTTTCGGTTTACTTAATTTTGGCAAGAACTATGCTTATGTAATATTGTTAATCAGGGGGAACTGACATTCACATTTGAATCAAGTAAATTCAGTGAAGACACATTTGGTAGATGTTATTTCCAGGAAATTGTGAGAAACTATAGTCATTGAGGTTTGGAACCATTGTATATTTGATTTATAATACTGTGCAAAAGTCAGAGACTGCTCTTTTCTTTATTTAATTTCCATTCATTACATAGTAAGTAAATAAATGTTACAGTTTTTCAGTGCCAGAGAAAAGCAGAAATCAGACAAATACTCGACAGAAAATTACACAAGCACTTCAACAACTAAATATAATTTTGGTAACACTTTCTCTGAATACCATGTTAATAAGCATCTATAAACACATTCATATCCTGTTATAATGCATTTCTAAGGCATTATGAACATGGCCATAAAAAGCAGGTGTGACACATGGTGGTTGGAACTACACACTGCAGAAAGGTAGATCTCCAGGACCAGGATGGTGACCAGAGGGTCGAACAATTGATCAAGTCTTGTCTAGACTTGGCATGACTGGACACTTCCCAATTCAGGATAAATACATGGCTTCTAAAGAATGGGAGGTCTAGACAATAACTGACCAAGAAGATTTAGAATAAAGCAGAGATTGAGTATTGATTCCTAATTTCTCACAGCGTGCTACATCCCCCTAGTGGTGGTGATTAATCATGGCACTCCAACTTCACAAATGCTGGAGAGTACACAAGGAAGCAATGGCTTTTCATTAATGTGAAACCCCTTCATACAGTTCATTTTCCCTAAGAAACATCATTCAATAGTAATAAAACAAAGGCACGCAACATTTCTAAGTACATCTCAACATAATTTATAACAGATAAAGAACTCATCACAGCTTCCCCATTCAAGACTCTGATCAGTGTCATTTTTGTTTGAAAAATGAAGCATCAATTGACATAAAGTAATAGCTAATCATGTTTAAGCATCTTATTTGCTGAATGAGTGTAATACACCTCCTTTGTATCTACACTCATTGTCCATCTTACAACTCATTGTCTATTTACATTGTCCAACTTACAATAGGACCAATGTACCTGATAAAGTAGTACAAAATAAAAGTGTGCCTGATAAATAGGTGCACAATTACAGATTGCAGTCCATCTGCTTCTCTAAACGAAACTTTTTTTTAATTTATTTATTTTTGATTTTAAAAAGTGAGAAATATTAAGGACCCCACCCAACTTTGCCCCCCCGACCCCACCCCTGAATGAAAAGCTCCTCAGAGCAACGTTCTGCAAGCTGAAAATAAACAAACCTGAATATGTCCCTCACCAGATTAGTAACCTTAAAATTTAACTGCTCATATTGCAGTGTTTTCTCATTCTCCTGACACTCCAACAGCCCACGAGTCTCGGTAACAGCCTATAACAGCCCCTGCCCTATTATGTCTGTCCTGTCCTAACCAGAGAACATCTTTTTTCCTGCAGCCTAGAGTCAAAAGTTTCCATGTCATTGGGAGGAACATGAATCAGACAAGCTTATGCAGCTTGCAGAACAAACTACACTGCTTTCTCACTATGTACACTACTGAAGACAACACTGAACTAGCTAATCTAATGTCCAGATTAGATATAGCCTGGGGATTGTTTGTGGGATTGGTTTCATGTCCTGCAGAAAGCAATTGCATGTGCTAAAAACAAGGTAACTACACTCAAAAAAATGATTTACGACCATCATAAACATTAAGCAAATATTTTACATAAAACTTATTTAAAAAACATAGAAATACACCTTACTTATTTATGTTCATTAGAAGCAACCCAATTTGGATAAATCCAAAACTGATTTAATTGAATTGTATAAGACCTGTTAGATTTTTCCACTAAATCTTATTAGGAGGCAGTGCGCATATGCAGTAGTAACAGGAAACGCATCATCAACCAGGAAATTGCTTCAGCTGGCATGGTGGACATGAAATGGCTCTTTTTATTTTTACAAGCAAAGCGTAGTATATAAAGATGTATTCCATTAATATCCAAATCAACAGTTCATGGTTTTTCTAAGTGTAGGTGACCTCGACACATTAGCATGGCATGAAGTGACTGATAGTGTTAGCTAGCTAACTTGAATGATGGTTAGCATGAGAGTTGCACCTCAATAGGAATGTGTGTGCACATAAACATTTGCTTTAATTAGTAGTTGAGTTGTGAGTGAATAGAAATTCTAAACCAGGGAATTTGATCACAGCTGAAATATATAAGTTATGTTTATTTCTTTCATGTTAGACTTTAAAGTTTACACGTGTCCTGTAATGTTCCTCAGGAAATACTGTTTAACACAATTTGGACTACAATAAATCTTTGTGAATTTAACATGTATTGTCATTTAATACATTTACACAGTCTAAGTAATTGTGCTTTGAACACAGAAGGTACTATTAACTCATAAATCATTAACTAAATACGTAAATGTTATGTAAAAGAATTGCATAAATCCTACAAGTACTTCTAATTTAAACATTATTTAACTCATTCAGGATTATTGAACATGATGGAGAAACATAAATTCTTACATTGGATTTTTACATTGGATTTATGTATTTAAATTGAATGGAAAATTGACGAGTAATTAAAATACGTAAGTTTTAACTTTTGGGCTTAAATATCTTTTTGAGTGTACTGAGTACTATTAACTATATGGATCATTCTGCTGAATTGTTTCATAGTCAGAGATGAAAACACAATTTGGACTTTTACTACCTTGGATTTTAGACTATAATCCTTGAACATTCCATTTTGTCCCTACCAAAAAACTAGTTACACTCCTGAAATTTTACCAAATGCTTCAGTAGTGACTGTTTTGGTTGTGTCAATTTTACCTAATTTTGAGCACAACTCAAAAACGCTGGCCAGTACATGACTAGCAAACACAGCCTTGAACAGTTGGACACAAATGAAATCATGAAATATTTATTAAAACACAATAAAGTTTACTTACTTGCACAAAATATGACCATTCTTAATGTTACACACTTATTTTTCAGGCTTTGGGACATTTACTTCAAAACAATTGGATGTAACTGCTCACCATGTGGCCATAAGGGAGAGGGTTGCAGCCTCACTTCCTCCTCTAAAATCTAAAAAATACTAATACCTAAATCTTTTACCTTCACTTTATAAGAAATCAAAAGGTTCTTTTAAAACAACATTGAAAAGTTAGGGGTTTGGGACAGACACCTCCCATTAAGAAAGTATGCTATAAATGATGATTTATTCAGCAGTGGAACTGGGTTTCCTGGGGTGATGGAGCTCCATCCTGTACCATTGGGATGAGTTAGAGTGGCCAAACTTACCATGCTTCATCACTACCTGACCTCACTAGTGCACTTGTGGCTGCATTTAGTCAAATCCTCACAGCAATGTTCCACCAGCTAGTATAAAGCTTTCTCAGAAGATTAGAAGCTGTTACTGCAGCAAAGACAGGACAAACTACCTATTAATATGCTTGATTTCAGAGGAAACATTGGATGAGCAAGTGTCTACAAAGTCTTGGACATATAGTGTAACATCATCATTATAATTATATATCAATCTATGACCACGCATGTTGTAATTTAATAAAATCAGATTTTTGCATTCACACAGCAATGAAAAAATCAGATCAGTGTCTTCTACTATCTAAATCAAATTTGTACCTCTGAAACCTGGTAATGTGAATGTAGCCTGTACATCATACATCAATGTGTCCATTCTTTATCCTTCCACAGATGTTACTGACCTCAGGCCTTCAATGTATGACCTGGTCAATCATTCAAATATGTGAATGTTTTTTTTCCCTAAGGTTCTCACAAAACTTATCACCATACATTAAGTTTAATTATGCAATACATGTCACAAACACAACATCATAATTCACTATCACTACCAGTAGCGAAGATTTTAAGGGCAATGTTTATATTTCATATCTAATGAAACCATAGAGGAATCTGTATGTACTGGAATAACAGTGGAAATTTACACAATGTTAAGAAATTATCTGATTCAGGGGTAAATTATATATTATGAATAGAAGGGGACCCAGGACAGATCCCTGGGGCACCCCCAGAATAACCAGAGTATTGGATGACCTGTTTACCAATAGAGATCATGTTTTGCATTGATAGATATGAGTGAAACCATTCAAAAGAGATCCGCGAGACAGCACTGTGTTCTGGCACTGTGTGGTCACAGTGGACCAAGGCTGCGAGCGAGAGCTTGCACTGTCCACTGAATACTTACATCATACAGACACAGTGCAATTCATGAAGTGCAAGAATTTTTGAATTCCACACAGCTGTTTAGACTGAGCTATTGTACAAATGGGATAAATTTAAAATATT